CCACCCCCAGCACTCACACTTCCTGGGGGCCAGGCGGGGAAGAGAGACCGCAAGCCACGAAGGGGGAAGGAGGCAAGGGGAGTTGGCTGCTTCCCGGGGCTTTGAGGGTTAAGGTCCCCCTCCAAATCCCCCAATCCTGTTGCTGGGGCTCTTGAAATTAGAGTGACCTCAGTGCTCCCCACATTTTCTTTCCATGACACCAGCGCTAGCCCACAGCCCCGGCGACCCTATGGAGGGCTATGGGAGGGACATAAAAGATGGCGGAGGAAGGAGTAGGGCAACTCTCTTGCCCAGCCCAGGACCCTTGTCCCTGGGCACCCCCACTCACCAGCCACCCCTCTTGGCTCTCTTCTTGGCCTCCTCTTCCACCCTTCAGTCTACCTCTCCTGACCCTGGTCTCCCTTCTGCAAGATGCATACTGCGCTGCCCTTGCTTCGGCCTTGCGGGCCCCTCACCTCCTCTCGCCACCTCTGGCCCAGGCTGCCCCAGGAACCAGCCCCACCACAGCACAGCTCCCCGCTCTGTCCTCTTGCCCAGGCCTCTCCCACTTTCTCCATGCCCCCTGCTCTGGGCACCCCTTCTCTTCTCCCCAGGTGTGGGTGGGCTACAGGGGGCTGGGGAAGGCAGGGACCAGGACCTGCCTCCTAAGGCCTCATCTTGCCAAGAGATGGTCGCGTGGAAAGAACACATGCTCCCCTTCTGGATGAACCAGGGGACCAAAATTTGGGGACCATTTGGTGAGGATGAGCGGTGGAGGGGAGTGTGCAGTGACAGCGGATGTGGGGTGGGGGTGGGGGGACAACCTGTGCCTCCCTGCCCGTCAGAGTTTCCAGTCCTGCTGGACTTTCCCTAAAGGGTGCCCACTCTGAGCCAGGAACTGTCCACTTGGGCAGATCCTGGCCATCAGGGTTCCCAGCAGAGGCTGCAGGGGCAGTGCCAGCTTTCCCAAGGGCCCAAGAAGACCGCGCAAGGTGCCAGGGTCTGCCCTGTGCCCACCCCCTCCCCCCTAGTCTAGTGTCTCGGCTGGGTAACCGAGCCGGCTGGTAACCCCACACCCGCCAAGCCGCGGGCAGAAACCTGAGCCCCCCAGCCCCAGAGGACACCCCAGCCCGATCCCCGAAGCCCGGCTCCCTGCCAGCCTGTCCAACCTCCTGGCCTGGCCCGGCAGCCACACTGCTCCTGTAGGCCTCTTCTGTGGCTTTTCCCCTCTTCTGTGGCTTCTCCTGGTCATCTAGGTCCCCTCCCACACTCCAGTT